AGGGGAGGCTCAAGGGAGGCAGGGTCTGGCTGAAGATGGAGGAGCTCATCTGAGGGGAGATGGGGGTCTGGGGTGTCATGGGGGAAGCGAGCCAGAGAAGGTACACTATATCCTGTCGAGGACAGGGGCTGATGCATCTGGGGTTCCTTAGTGGGAGGCCAGTGGCTTCTATCCCCTCAACCCTCGGGACGCACAGTCAGGGCAAGCAAAGCGTTGGTGTTAACTCAGATGATTTTTAAAAATTTACTCAGGGACCCTGGGCATTTCACTGGGGCATGTTTGCACATGAAAATATGCACGGGATGTCCCCTGAGGTGGCCTGGACACCGAGAGGCTTGCATAACCCCTGATACGTTTACTCCACCCTAGATTGACATGCGGATTGACATATGGATGCTAACTCGGGATTCTTCAAAAATAAGAAGCAAGCTCCACCTGGTCTATGCTCCATCCCCTTCCCTTAACTAAAAAGTCCAGAGACATGCGTGATTTGGGGAGGGAGCCCGGTCTATTCTGGCAAAAACAGTATCCACGGAGCTTTGGAGAACCAGGGAGCTTTAGGAACTAACAGAAAGGAAAATCGTACGGAGCCCATGCTGGCAGGCGCTCAGCGACGTGCGCATAACCGTACAATGACAATAATGAAAGCCAGCATTTATTGGGCACTTATATGTACTGGGCACTGTTCAGCTCATTTAACCTTCCGACAGTCCTAGGAAGGATTTACTCTTTGTGTCCCTGGTTTGCCGATGAGGAGGCACAGAGACGACTGAGGCACAGAGTTTAAGGCACACTTTCCCAGGACCCCTCAGCTTTTCATTAGAAGAGCTGAGACTTGAGCCAGGAAGTCGGGCCACAGAGTCTGCCCTCCTGGAGTCTCTCTTTGATAAACTGGGGTCACTCCCATGGTACTCAGAGCGAACAGGGCCTGTGTGGAGGCCGGGGCCTGGTTTGTGAGCCACTATGGAGGGAGGATCCATGAACCCGCTGCTAAAGGAGGCAGCTCCCCCTAGGGCTGTTTCTAAAGCCCTGTGTCTGAGAGGGTGAAGCTGTCCCCAGAGAGTCCTGGGAAACCTTGGGAACAGCTTGCTTCAGCCACTCAGAAGCAGAGGGGCAGAGCTGGGGGCAGCCCAAGCCAGGCCTCCTCCCAGACTGTCCTCCTCTCGGGTGGCCCAGCCTCCTGCCACCTGAGAAGCCCCTGTGGCTGAGCTAGTGTTTCTGGTTCCCCGTGGACCCAGGTGTGGTGAGCCGCTTCTGCTGTTTCTGCAGACTATGGTCGCCATTACAAGATGACGCTGGCTCCGCTGTGGTCTGTGACAAACAACTTCTTATCTGGGAAAGTTGGCACATGATTTTTCACCACCCTGTGAGAAAGCTCCACGCGGCAGCTTTGCATTGGGGCTTGGGATGCTTTATTAAGGCTGGGAGGGGCATCCGAGAGGGAGAAGAAGAAATATCCAGGGCCTGAATAAACTGCTGAAAGAAGATTCCCGAGTTGCGTCTTTGCGGGCAAGGGGTCGCGACAAGTGGTGCCGAGACCCGGGAACCAGAACTTTCAGCAGTCAGGGGTGGTGCACTGGTTAGTCCCAGGTAAGTGGGATCCGCGACTAAAGCGGGGTTAGTCCCAATAAGTGGGATCCGCGATCAAAGCGGGGTTAGTCCCAATAAGTGGGATCCGCGACCAAAGCGGGGTAGCTCCTCTGTAAACACAGAGAGAGCCTTACATTTTATTGCAGCTGCACTGTGTACTTTCGCTTTTGTTTTCTGTGTTTCTTTTGTTGTGTCATTTCGCTTTTGTTTTTTGTGCTTCTTTTGTTGTTGTGACGACAGGGACGCTCCCCTGTAAAAGGAAGAGAGCGGGGAATTCATAGAACGGAACGCTCCCCTGTAAAAGGAAGAGAGCGGGGACTTTTGTACTTTCACTTTCTTTATAGCTCTAAAAACATTATGGGCGTTGCTTCTTCAAGCCCAATTTTGTTGGCCCTAGATGGGTTGTTACATTCAAAAGGACTTAAGATAAAGCAGAGTACTTTGCAGATGTTTTTAAGAGAAGCTGATATAGCGGCTCCTTGGTTTGCTTTTTCAGGGAGTCTTACGGTTCCCAGCTGGGACAAATTAGGGAAAGATCTAGATTTCGCTCATGAGCAAGGTACCTTGCAGGGTGGCATTATACCACTTTGGAAGTTAGTTAGAAGATGTATAACAGATGGTAAATGCCAGGAAGCTGTGAGTGAGGGTCAAGCTATTCTTGAGCAACTGCATGAGGAAAAATCTGAAGGATCATGTAGTGAAGTGGCAGAGAGTATTAAAAGTAACAGTAGTGAGAAGGCAAAAGAGCCTGAAGATAAAAATAGGAGAAGGCTCTACCCAGACTTGACTGAATTAAAAACGCCTGAGAACACAAGCGACTCAGAGAGTTCTGAGGACCTTGATATATTGTTACAACAACTACATAAGATAAAAATGAAAAAGAAGAAAAAGGAGACACAGGGCACACAGGCCTACTGTAAGAAGGGGAAGGGAGTTAACATTGGTCAACAAAACTCTGAGGAGGAGGAGGTAGAATATCTAGAAGAAGATATGGTGCCGATTGCCCCACCTCCGTATGTGGGGGGGAGCCAAGGTTCCGGGAGATCTTTTCATGCACAAGTTTGGAGGACAGTTAATACAGATATGGGACTTGCATACCCTGTATTTCAGGACAATAACAGGGGAAGATATCATGAGCCTTTAGACTTTAAGATAATTAAAACCTTGGCAGAATCTGTCCGCACTTATGGCATAGATGCCGCTTTCACTCTCACTCAGGTGGAGGGACTTACTAGATTTTGCATGACTCCCTCAGATTGGGCTAGTCTAGTCCGCGCTTGTGTTTCCCCAGGGAAATATTAGGAGTCCAAAGTTGGCTGTTTAATGTTTCTGGCAGTACCCAAGACTCGGAGCGAGATAGGAGACTTAAAATTACTTCACACAATTCACAATTGTTTAATGCTACATTACCCTCCTCAGCAGTCTGTCTCCAATCTCCGTTCCTGTTTCTTTTGGCTAATGTTACATTACAGGGGATGCTTAATTGCTCTAATATTACCTGTTATTTGTCTGAGTGTTGGAATGGCTCCTGGACTATGGCAATGGTTATGAAATTTCCAACCTTTGTCCCGATCCCAGTTACTGCAGATCCAGAATCCTTTCCTATTGTTGAACTGATTAGAGCCCGTAGAGATTTTGGAATTACGGCAGCCATAGTGACAGCTGTGGCGGTATCTGCTGCTGCAGCAGTTACAGCTGGAGTAGCCATGGCCAGCCAGGTTCAAACTGCTGCCACTATTAATCAGGTTATTCAACAAACATCCACCATACTTGAATCTCAAAATTCAATTAATCAACATATTTTGTCAGGGATTTTAGCTGCCAACCAAAGAATAGATTTACTCCAAGCTCAGGTAGAAGAATTGGCCGACTTGGTGCTTTTGGGTTGTGTTGATCAACGTGCACATTTATGTATAACCTCTGTCAGATTTTTTGATTCCAGAAATGCCTCCCACATCATCGGGGAGTATCCGTCCGAAACCTGGTCCATGGAAGCAGAAAACATGATCCAGTCTCAACTAACCCAGATAGCTGTCTTGAACAGTACCCGTGTCGATCCTGTGACTTTGGGTCAATTCACCGATTGGATATCTTCTGCTTTTTCCTTCTTCAAAGAGTGGGTGGGGGTAGGCATTTTTGGGGCAATGTGTTGCACTCTGTGGCTTCTCTGTCGCCTTAAGGCCCGCAGTGCTCACGATAAGGCTATGATCATACAAGCTCTTGCAGCTTTAGAAAATGGCAACTCGCCTCAAGTCTGGCTTGCGCATCTTAAGCAGTAAACCTTTGTCATGGTCGTTACACCCCAAGTTATTATAACATTGCACTGGGATCGACATGACTTTCCTTGTTATTCTCTTAGTGTTGGAAAGCCCTTGCACTCTGCCGGTCTTACTGCCATTGCACGCAGATGGGTTTCCACACTAGTGCTTTTCTATCGCCTTAAAGTTCGTGCCTTTCTTTCAGGGTGCTGTCAACTTGTTTGTCATTATAAACAGCCACAGTTCAGCCTCAGCTATCCCCCTTCGTCCACCATCGTCACGATACAGGATGCGAGGCAAGGCACTGCACTTGAGTGATCCTTGACGTGGACCTCAAGGAGAGCATGTCCTATTGCATGCGGGTTAGACGCGTCCACGCCCCGCCCCACGAAAAAAGGCGCCGGCTGATATGGCCTCAGATCTGGGGAAGGGCCCTCCTTAGGACTGAGCCATACTATGCAGCCACTTCTGCACAGTGGGATAGGACCTCTACTCTCGCCTGTATTGTTTTAAGAAAACAGAAAAGGGGGAACTGTGGTGAGCCGCTTCTGCTGTTTCTGCAGACTATGGTCGCCATTACAAGATGACGCTGGCTCCACTGTGGTCTGTGACAAACAACTTCTTATCTGGGAAAGTTGGCACATGATTTTTCACCACCCTGTGAGAAAGCTCCACGCGGCAGCTTTGCATTGGGGCTTGGGATGCTTTATTAAGGCTGGGAGGGGCATCCGAGAGAGAGAAGAAGAAATATCCAGGGCCTGAATAAACTGTTGAAAGAAGATTCCCGAGTTGCGTCTTCTTTGCGGGCAAGGGGTCGCGACACCCAGGGAGGCCATAAAGAAGGAGGATGGAGACAACTTCACCCACAAGGAAGCCGGCTGCGCCCAGAGGCCCTTCTCCCTGGATTTTCAGGCCCACTCCATGACCAAAGCCATTTTACCTAAACAGGACGAGCCAATTCTGGAGAACCCTGGCTCTAGGCTGTCCCCTCAGGATACAAGGTTTCCATCTGGACCCCGCGACAAGTTTTGGGAAGGGGGAGGTTCTGACCCCAGGATCCCTCCCCTCATGGACCCTCACTGCTCCCCAGAGTGGCAGGCTGAGGTGACCAGGGGAACTTCTCTCTGGCCACCGGAGACAGGCCAGGCTTACCTTTCCACCTGCAGGTTGACCTTGGAAGGCTCCACGTTGGGGTTTTCCCATTCCATCTGCGGGCAGTGCATGAAGTAGCAAAGGGTGTACAGGGCCTCGGGCTCCCAGTACAGCGCCCCCTGCTTGTGGTGTAGGGGGGTGCCGTTGCCGTGGTGCTTGGCGTTGAGGGGCTGCAGGTGATGCATGGCGCGGGACACCAGGTCACCTGTGGACAGAAGCAAGACGTCAGATCCTCCAGGAAGACAACACTCGCAGAGAAGCTGTGCCTGAAGATCTCTTTAGAGACTCTGATCATTGGGGTCCTTCCTTAACTGAAGCGACCCCAGGGGACCTCCAGGTCACATATCAGGCAGAGAGGAGAACATGTGTTCATCACGTGACTGTCAGGGGCTTACCGGACCTGGGAGCTGTGTCAAGCTCAGTGGCTGCCGGGGTCATTGCTCCTGTGCTTGTGGAACGCAAGGCAGGGGAAGCCTCTGTGCCCGGCTCCCAGGCCTATGTCAGAGCTAATGATATTTGCAGACACAAGAACGGGTTACGCTCTCCGACACTGTGCATATACTATTTGCTCTTTCCAGAACACTCTCCCCTCCTCTTAAATAATTCTCCCCTCCTCTTAAATAATTCTTTAATTAAAGTGAAAGAGGCTCATTTTGTTTTACTTAAATACATCTATCTAAAAAAAGGAAAATGATGTCACTATCACAAATGGAAGAATATCAGTCCATGGTCCAAAATAGAAAGTTGATGGAAAAGTAAATCCAGCAAACACAGAGCAGTGTAATTCATTTCTAGCTGAATTCTGGCCCCGCTTTCTTTTATTCCAAATAGTAAGTGTTAGACAAGGGTCAGGGGCTCATATCCAACAGAGTCTTTCTTCTTAAAGTAACAAATGAATGGGAAAGAATCACTCTGGGATTGGTATTATTCAACGCACTGCATTGTCCAACTTAGAATCATCCCATGCACAGCAGACTGGATTGTACACTAGGACGCTAGGACGCTGTGATGGTTAATTGGATGTGACAGTGTGGCTGGGCTTCGGTGCTCAGTCATTTGGTCAGACCCTGCTCTATATGTTGCTATGAGGATATTTTTTAAAGGTGTAATTAGCATTGAGATCACTAGACTTTGAATAAAGCAGATGACCTTCCGTAATGTGGGTGGACCTCATTCCATCAGTTAAAGGTATTAAAAGTTCCCCAAAGAGGAAGGAATTCTGCTACGGGCAGCATTAACTCTTACTAGAATTTCTAGCCTGTGGGTCTATCTGGTAGATTTTGGACTTGCAGCCAGCCCCATGACCAAGTGATCCAATTTTTTTTTAAATATTTACTTTTTAGTTGTAATTGGACACAATACCTTTATCTTATTTATTTATTTTCATGCGGCGCTGAGGAGCAAACCCAGGGCTCATACGTGCTAGCCAAGCGCTCTGCCACTGAGCCACAACCCCAGCCCGTGATCCAATTCTTAAAATAAATTTTTCTCAGTCTTTCTTCCTGTCTACACACACACACACACACACACACACGTGTGTGTGCAGACACAATCTCTGATGCGGTGCCAGCCTCCCCAGGCCCGTGCCTCACTGTCCAGCAGAAATCTAGCCTTCAGACCTGCACATTCTCCACCCTCCCGCGGAACATCTCCACCTTTGCCTGCAATCGAAACCCAGGAAAGTGTGGCAGAGCAGGAGGGAGGGGCTTCTCCTCTGGAGGCTTAGAACTCCTATCTAGGTTTCTGTGTCCCAATGGGGGGCACTACCTCAAAATATGATTGACAGTGGGGGCTTTTTGGGAGTCAGCTGTGGGGCTGTTGGCCCTCTTTAAGGGGAGTCAGCTGTGGAAAGGTCCTCAGAGCTCTTTCCTACCCAGTGCAAATATAGCTTCAAAATCCTTCTGGAGGCAAGATCTTAAGCAGTCGTTATTTCTGATAAAAGTTGTCAGAAGAAAGAAGATCTCTTGAGTTACCTGAATTCCAAGGCCACATGAGGACAAGCTAACTAGAGTACAATCCAGGGGCTTAATACCTGGACAGCAAGGGCCAGGGCTGAAGAGACCACAGTCAGGGGTGTGATGGCTACTTATAGATGCTAACTTGACTGGACTAGGGGATGCCCAGATAGCTGGTCAGGCATTATTTCTGGATACATATGTGAGGGCGGTTCTGGAAGAGATTGGCATTTGAACCAGTGGACAGGGTAAAGAAGATCTGCCCTCACCCATTGCAGGCAGGCACTGTCTAATCAGCTAAGGGTCCTGAGGGAACAAAAAGGCAAATTCCCTTCCTATTTTTCAGAGCTGAAAAACCCTCTTCTCTTGTCCTTCTGCCTTCTGCTTGAGGACACAGGAACAAGGCACCATCTCGGAAGCAAAGAGAGCCAGCTCTCACGACGCCAAACCTGCTGGCACCTTGATCTTGGAATTCCTCCATCTCCACACCTCTGAGGAAATACATTTCTAATCTTTAAGCTTTCCCAGTCTCACGTACTTTGCTATAGCAGCACCAATGATGGAGACAGGGGGGTTGCTTCCCTACACCTCTTCGAAATTTACCATTCCTAGTCCAGAGCTTGCTCTTCCTCTCTCCATTTCCCACAGCGGGAAAACACACCCAAGAAATTAAAAGAAGAATCAGGGAAAGACGAGCTCCTTTAGAGGCAGGTGGGGAGGGAAGCCAAGGAGCCACAGATGGGAAACATGGAAGACCACTGTTCTAAAGAGTACGTCCACACCGACGTGCCAGGAAGCCTGGTCCATCGGATCAATGGCCCTGGGCCCCCCGCAAGGCTGACCGGGCTCTGCCCTGAAAACTGTGAACGGCCCACATTTCTTTATTGTGGCTAGTTATGGCCATTGTCATGAACCCTGAAAATGTGCAGCCGGGCAGCTTGGTTTGGGGGCCATGGGACGAGGCTGTGGGGGTGTTACCAAGCCTACACCCCGCGCTTCCTGTGTGGGGTGCAGTTCTGAGAACCCTGTGTGGACTGTTCCAGGGCCACACAACCCCGTGACGTGGGTCCTCACAGCACACGCATCTTACCAATGAGGAGAGTGAGTGACCTCCCTGCCACAGAGGGTAAGAACAGGCTCCCGGCCACTGCCACGGGCTCGAGGGCACAGCAGGCCACCTACAAGGGCAAGGGAGGGGTCTTCATGCTGTGGCAGTAGCCCTGACTCATTAAGGCCTGCAGGATCACAGCAGCCTCGGCACACCAGAGTCGGGGCAGAGAGCTCCGTGCCCGTCTGGCTGCCATCTACTGGTGGCATCTGCTGCCCCGTGCAGAGGAGGGGAGGGCGGTGTGGACACGGTGCAGCTGCAGGACGGACGGGGGGTTTCCAGAACTGCCCTCGGCTTGGGTGTCAGGGTTGGCAAAGGTGGCCCCAGCCACAGCAGGAGAGGGGTGTGGGGCTTCAGGCAGGTTCTGGGGGGGTTACGGCCTCAGATTCTGGGCAGCCCCATGCTGAGCCCCAGCAAGGCAGGAAGAAAGAGTGGCTATGGGTTGTTGGCCACCTGGGGACTCTCAAAAGCTTCTGGGAGGTTTTGTCCTATGTCACCTATCTCACCTGGGGACACAGTCCTATGTCACCTGGGGATTACCAAACACTGGGTAAGGGGCTGCCTTTCAGTGAATTGGCAGGATCTGAGAAACTGAGGGCGGCCAGGCTGAGGGACAGGGAGGACAGCATGAAGGGCTTGGCTCCCCAGGAAGTGACCCCTCCCAGCACTCCCCCGTCCTAAACAGCAGGAGGGCTCGGGAACGTGCTGGAAGAGGCCCCGAGAGCCAGGACTGGCCCCTTGTTGGTCCAGCCCGCCCTCCCAGGTGTCCTCTCTGCAGTGTCCAATAGCAGGAGACCATAATGGTCACTATTATCATGAAAAATGGAAACAGCTGTCATCCATTAATCACGGAGGCCACGCCAGGCACGCGGAGCACCTGCTGGACACTGTGTCCAGCCCTCTGGGTGCTCCTCGTGGTGTGGATCAATATTATCTCAATTTTGCAGCTGTGGTCCCCAACTGATCTTGCCTCCCGGGGCCATTTGGCAGTATCTGGAGACATTTGGGATTGTCACGTTCAGGGGCTACTGGCACCCAGTGGGTCAAGTTTCGGGATGCTGCTAAATGTCCTGTACGGATCTGATGACGGGGTAGTCCCCAAAAAGAATGTCCACCATGCCCAAAGAGGGAAACCCTGTCTTACAGATAAGAAAACCGAGGCCCCAGGCTACAGGGTTAGTGGGGGGAAGACAAGGTTCCAACCCCCAGCGCATCTGGCTCTCAGGCCTGTGTGTCTTCACCCCCCCGGGACCCGGGTCCCTCTCTCAAAGGCTGCCACAACAGCTGGCCAGCTGTCCGTCCGTCTTGGAGCAATTGAGCATGGTGTAGCAAAGGTATTAACCCATGTCCCAAGCCCTCAGCCATAAAGCCCACTTCTGGGAATGTGTCCTAGAGTAAGAATTCAAAATCCAACCAAGTCTTCATTCACAAGGGTCTGCACCCAAACCCTATTTACGGGCTCTAAAGTTTGACCCAATGAATTTTCGCATATAAAAAGCTTGGCTCAGGGAAGCCTCGATTAGCCACGAGATTAAATAGTCCATCCGTGAGGTCATTAAAGATGCTCACGCCTCTCTGCAACAGTCCGAGGAAGAGCCTTCATGTTAAAATGGCTAATGGCAAAAAGGAAAGTGCAGAATTGCGAACACTGGGATCAGGATTATGGTTTAAAAACTGTGCATAAAGTAAGTCACGGGCAGGGAAAACCCAGCGTGTTGACCAAAGCTTTCTCCGCCCGTGGGGATTAAGGGTGACATTCCCATCCCACTTTTCTCTAGTCTCTGAACTTTGAATTCTGCCGTGTGCTATTTATATTATCAGAATCACAAGCTCACCGCGTGGTATTTACCTTCCACATCCAGGGTTAGATGAGAACACGCTTATTTTTCTGCCTCTCTCTTTCAAAAGCTCCCATTAAATAACATGAAACAAGAAAAATCAAAAGGGAGTAGAGAAGAGAAGGGGCCCACATCATGGCCCCTCCACCACCTCTTCCCTTCCCCAGGAGCTGGGAAGCCTGGCTGCTGGGCACCCTCGTCCTGGGTGGGCTAGGTGCTCCCTGGGTCCTCAGGCCACCACGCAGCTCGCCCTGCCATTCCAGGCTCCCTGGTTTGGTGACTGTGGTCTCGCTGTGGGTTGCCC